ATGTAGACAGTACACTGTCTTGGAAAATACATATTGAACAAATTATACCTAAATTAAATGCAGCTTGCTATGCGATGAGATCAATTAAGCCTTTTATGTCACAGGAAACATTGAAGATGGTTTACCATGCCTACTTTCATTCTATTATGAACTATGGATTAATATTTTGGGGGAACTCTTCACATAGTGTAATAATTAAGTTTTGTCAGAAACTTGGGGTTACCCAAGCGGAAACAGTTTGCAAAATTCAGCAGGCTTTCAGCGATGATGCATTGTGGGTCACTCAAATCAAAAGAGTGGTTCAACCGTTTTAAACATGGCCGTATGTTGGCGGACAGTTAGCAGCTTTCCGGGAGACCGTCAATGAGCCAAAAACTGATGTCATTGAAAAAGTGTGGATACTGATCATGGAGGACCGTTGTTTGACCGTCCATGAAGTTGCTGATGAGGTTGGGATCAGCAGAGGTTCTGCAAACAATTTTAACTGAGAATTTGTGCCCAAGCTGCTTTCGCTGGAGCAGCAACAACTCCGCCTTGAGGTCGCACAGGACATGCTGGAGTGCGCCAACAGGATCCTGAGTTCCTGAAGACTGTGATCACTGGTGACGAGTCGTCGTGGGTGTACGGATATGACCCGGAAACTAAGGTCCAGGCATCAAATGGAAGCAGCCAACATCCCCGAGGCCCAAAAGAGCACGACAGGTTTGGAGCAATTTGAAGGTGATACTGACTGTTTTTTCGATTACCGGGGTGTTGTGCATCATGAGTACTCACCACTAGGCCAGACTGTTAATAAGCAGTACTACCAAGAAGTCCTCCTCCATCTTCGTGATGCAGTTCGGCGCAAGAGACCGGAGCTGTCGGACGCACGCAACTGGCAGCTGCATCCTGACAACGCCCCAGCTCATTCATTGCACCTGATCCAGGGTTTCCTGGCCAAGCACGGCATTCCGCAGGTTCACCAGGCTCCCTACTCTCCTGACATGGCTCCTTGTGATTTCTGACTGTTCCCAAGATTGAGGACACCGCTAAAAGGCTGCCGTTTTGACAGCCGCAAGGACATCATACAGAACGCGATGGCGCAGCTGTACGCCATTCCAAAAGAAGCCTTCCACAATTGCTTCCAGCGATGGAAGGACCGCTGGGCTAAGTGTGTGGAGTCACAAAGGGCCTACTTTGAAGGCGATAAGTTATTGTAACCACCCAGACACAGAACTTTTTTTCCTGGCCCAAGGTCGGATACTTTTTGGACAGAGTAGTACACCTTCACCTGCTGTCCTAAATACATAACTGCCATTCATTTAACTACAGATATATCACCCGATATCAAAGGAAACTGACACCATTGTTAGTGGCTAAAGGGCTGAATAAGTATAAGAAAAACATCACACACATATGAAGTAAACAACATTTAATGTGTTACATTTTTACTTACATGACAAAATTCCACAGAAGTTAAAATACTTTCAGCTCCAAAGAAAAAGTACAGTGGTACAAGTCTGTTATGGAATCCAAGAGGTTGTAACTCTTACTGAATATGAAATGACTAATAACTCAAGAAACATAACTGAAATAATGGAAAATGAAACTTTAAATGCTGCCAAAGAGAAGTCTCATGACACGAAAAAGATTGACACTGCACCATACCTACTGAAATTTAACACACAATGCAAGAAGTGTACTCACTACCTGCAAGGCTGCAACATTTTAAATATTATCTTTCAATATTTATAGTGGAAACGGCACATCTCATAAGCTATACGATTCAATGTTATTATGTGGCACAAATTCGGCCTTTAAAAAGTATATCTGAATGGCAAACATACAAACTTACATATTTATGCTCTTGGCAAAGCAGTAAGCTCTGTTAAGACTGCAATCATATCACTTATGAAAAGAAGCCACTCATGTGCAAGTTATTTCAAAGTCATGCTGAAAATAAACAGGAATTATAGTACATTTCATAGTGAGATTTTAAGTATATCCAATGTACGAAATCACTGCAGACATTTCACTGCCACCACATTTTTACATGTACACATTAGGGCCTAAACTGATCAGTACTCTTCTTCTTCATTTGGTGGTGGTGGTGGTGGTGGAACATCTCCATCAACATCTTCAGGGGGTGCAAATGCATCCTGCAATAAGAGAAAGAAAATTGTGGTTTCTGTTAATACCTTTTACAGAACAGTTCAGCATCTATGCATTCTTTGAACAAAGTGCACAAAATGAATACATGTAGAGAAGGGCATGTTCCCTTTCTAGAACATCTTACCAAATTTTGTTTAAATTTATGGTACCCTGAGCGAGGGCAACAACTTTAATTTTAGTTAAAAATATGACGTGCTTTACATGAAGCCAAAACTAAATATCTTCATGAATCTATAAAGAAGAGTAGGGGCACACAGTAGCATTGTTGGTTGAGGAACTATGCTAAAAGTCAGAAGGTCGTGGGATCAAATCCCAATGAGTTGGATTATTCAATTGACATAATCCTTCCAGCAGCAATATGGCCCTGGGGTTGACTCAGCCTCTAACAGAAATGAGTACCAGGAATATTCCTGGGGGTAAATGTGGCTGGCGCGTGAGGCTGACAAACTTACCGCCATCTATGAGCCAGTTGTCTAGAAAATGTGGGAACCTCAACATCTCACAACCCAATGGGCCTCCATGGCCTGTTAAGTGCATACCTTTACTTTACTTTACTCATCTATAAAGAAGAGTGCATGCGTGCGTGAGAGAGAGCATGCATGCGCACACCTCTTTGTTGTTTGCTCTTTACACATTTTCGCACCACTATACCTATTCTGAGGACCGCCTCTGTGATATAGTGGTCAAAATTCCTGGCTACAGATCCAGAGGTCTGTGTTCGATTGCTGGCGGTACCAGATATTCTGAGAAGTAGTGGGTCTGGAACAGAGTCCACTCAGCCTAGTGAGGATAATTGAGGTGCTATTTCAAGGAAATAGCAGCTCCGGTCTAGAAAACCGAAATTAACAGCCGTGGGGATTCGTTGCGCTGACCATGCAACATCCTCTATCCACTAAAGTTGGCACTAACTTCACCAGCAAGCGGTGGTTGCTTGGTAGGTATAGTTTACTTGTGGACTAAAATTGGCAGGACGACAGAGCATTTCCCTCGGGAGGCTCTAGGCACTTGGAAATGTGCATGGCTGCAAGTTACTGTATGTGATATTAGGACAGCGGCATAGAACTTGTTATCTTAAACAGTAATATTAAGTATACGTATACAGTACAATTAATTATTTTCCTCTATAGTTGGCAATACATATAAGCAACAAAACAGTTATCACAGAATGTACAATATTCAGTAATTTGTGAATTCCTAATCAAAAAGCCATGCTTTATATTATTTAAATGTAGTAAACAAGCCCACAATAATTATCCTCTGACCAAAAAGCATTTAGACTACATACATACAAGGGTCATACTGAAAGTCATGAGCAACAATTTTTTGTAAAGTAACATGCTTTATTATTGACAAACCAAATACACCTCCTCAATCTAATTGCCACTTCTTTGTACGCATTTCTCCAAGCGTTCTGGGAGTTAAATTCCCCTTCTGTAAAATGCCGTTCCAGCCATCCGAAGACACTGACGCACTGCTTTCTGAATTGCCTCCAGTGTCTCAAAATGTCCACGCAGCTGATCCTTCACAAATCCGAAAAGATAGTAGTCAAGAGGGTGCCAGATCAGGGCTATAGGAGGGGTGTGGAAGAACTTCTCACCCCATCTTTGCAATTGCTTCCAATGTGAGGTGAGCGTTGTGGGGGCGATGATGATGTTTCGTCCCAGACATTAATCATGCAATGCACAACAGAGCTTGTGCAGCGTCTGGACATAACAAGCAGCACTGATGGTTTGCCCAGGTTCCAGGAATTCAGCCAGAATAAACCCCTCTGCATCCCAGAAAACTGTGCCCATCACCTTCGCAGCTGATGGCACTGTCTTTGCCTTCTTTTTTTTTGATGGAGAATGCAAGTTGTGCCATTCCATACTCTGCCGTTTCGTTTCAGGCTCGAAATGTTGAAACCAGTTTTCGCCACCTGTCACAATACAGAGCAAAAAATAATTGCCTTCGTGTTGATATCTCTGCAGCAGTTCTGAGGTGATGGCTTTTCACTGACCTTTGTGGTCTTTGGTCAATAAACGCGGGACCCAACAAGCAAACTTTCCTATAGCCCAAGCTTTCAATCATCTCCTGTACTGCATTGTGCCCTATTCCAAGTTTTCGGGCTATTGTGTCCAGTCACACGCCTGTCATCTTGAATGATCTCATCCACTGTTTCCTTGTTGCGTTCAGTTGAGGCTGTTCGAAGATGACCGCTTCGAGGCTCATCTTCGATGCTGGTGTTACAATCTTTAAAATGTTTTACCCATCTTCAAACACTGCTTGCACTCATGCACACACTTCCATAAGCACGCTGAAGTCTCTGGTGAATTTCTGCAGCAGGGATTTCCTCTTTCACAAGAAATTTGATGACAGCACACTGGCGAAACGACATATCATTGTCGGCCATTTTGTTAGGAGAGATACTGGTCACGTGATGCAAGCTAGTGACGTCACAAGACACTCAAGGTTAACACAACAGCTGGTTCCACCTACCACTATACTCTCTCTCATCTGCTTTTCCCAGGTTGCATGCAAAATAAAGTTGCTCATGACTTTTGGTACGACCTATGTACATACATCTCATTTAACTGATGATATCCAAATTGTCCTGTGAACATATTTAAAGCAGTTGAACATGCAACACTCATTAAAACTCTGACAAATGTCATTTTACTAACAATGTAAGCATAATAATTTTTGAAAGGAAGAAGAAATTGAAGGAATAAATCAATCAGTGCGTACAAAAATTGTATAGTTAATATGAAAATGCACTTTCATAAGGGGCAATATGGAACAGAAGTGATTCTGCTGTTAAAATCAGCTGCATTAAATTAAAAATAATGACTGGAAGACAAGTCATTCCTGCTTTAGTTCACATATTAGAATAAGCATATCAATGTCTTTAAACACTTAAACCACAAGAGTAAATATGTACCATGTACTTCAACATTCAAAACATGTCCACCCCATTTTTCCAACAGACGGTACCTATGGGTCTCATATACTATGTAGTATGTGTCTCATATAATATGTAGCATGTATGAGTTAGCAAGAATGCTTCAATTACTGGCAGTTATGACTTATAAGAGTTGAATAAATCCAGTTAACAATACAAATTCCATGTCAATTCACTAACATGTGACAATACCACTGTAGCATGTTGAGTTCAGCTGAAATCTTGAGAACATATGAGCATCAAGAAAATCAAGTGTAAAATTAAGGGAAGGGGGGAGAAATTAGGTACATGACAGAATACAGATCCAAAGTCTATTATTCTATGCAGCCTGTGCTTTCAAACAACAAATGCTGTATTCACTCATGTAATTTAAGCACTTTTTTTAACCAAATACTTGTCTGAAAGAAGCCCTGCCTAAAATATGCAAATATATTTTTCATAACAGACGGAGTTCTGAAAACCATAACCAACCAACCAACCAACCAACCAACCAACTCCCTTGAGATGAGTCCATCGTGAGAAGCTGCCAGTCACTCGTGTAATTTAAGCACTTTTTTAACCAAATATTTGTCTGAAAGAAGCCCTGTGTAAAATATGCAAATACTATTTTTCATAACAGATGGAGTTCTGATGACCATAACCAACTAACGAACTAACTCCCTGGAGATGAGTCCATCTTCAGAAGCTGCCAGTTATGCAGTTACTCAATAATTTCCCAACATTTTATGGAACCCCAAGGTTCATTAACGTGTTCACTAGAGTCCTCCACTGGTCCCTATCCTGAGTCACATCGATCCAGTATATATCACCCCATCCTATCTCTCCAAGATCCATTTTAATATTATCCACCCACCTACATCTAAGTCTTCATTGTGACCTCTCCTTCTGGCTTTCCCACCCAAATACTACAGGGAGATCGAAAAGTCGTGCACATCAAACTAAAAGTTGTTATAAATTGTATTTCACTTAATATATCTCCTACCGCTAGACAGTACTGTAGGAGTACTAACGAGTATACATGCCATCTGTCATGTATCGGTCATACGATGTCTGCAGTATAGCTTTGTTTATTGCGTGACAGATATGTCGTTTTCCCTAGAACAAGTTTTCATTGTGGAGCATTATTTCGCCAGTCATTCTTATGCATGTGTCACAGACGAGTTTCATCGGGAATATCTAGATTCTGCAGTTCATAACAATTCAACGATAACGAGAATAAACAATCGATTTCGGGAATGTGGATCAGTTTCAGACAGGAAGAGATCTGGGAGACTGGCCATTTTGACTGAGGCTAAACTGGATGACACGGAGAAAATGTTGCAGCGTTCCCCTTCAAAAACCCTGAGGAGACTTATCAGCGTAATCAGGGATTTCTTACGGAAGTGCTCAGAAAGCGAAGAAGACGTTACACCTTCATGCATATCATGCTCGCTGTGTGCAGGAACTGAAGGACCTGGATAAAGAAAGACGTTTACTGTACTGTAGATGGTTTCAGACATCTGTTGGCAACCATGGAATTGAAGAATCTGATCGGGGTTTCTTCACTGACGAAGCGCGGGTTCACCTTAGTAGCTACGTGAAGTCAAAACAATAGGATTTGGTCATCTGAAAATCCACATGTGTTAGATGAAAACTGCAGTGTGGTGTAGTGTATCACGTTGTCGAATAGTGGGCCAAATTTTCTTTGAAACAACACTGAACATTCCAATGTACCAAGAAATCATTACACAGTTTATTGCACTTCTTGAAGTTGATGAATGTGAGTGTTGCTTGCAGCAAGATGGTGCCACATGTCATACATCTGATGAAACCATGCAGTTCTTGCGCGAGTTTTTCGGTGACCATCTCATTTCAAAAGGATTATGGCCCCCGCATTCACCCAATTTTTCACCCGCACATTTTTCCCTTTGGGGGTACCTCAAAGGAATGGTCTATAAAAATTATCCGCATACACTGGATGACCTCAAGAGGAACATTATGACAGCGATTAACAGCATCAGTTTACAGGTGCTCCACAAAGTGGTCTCAAACATGGTAAAAATAGCTTGT